TCCTTTGTAATATCTCGCCTTGACTACTGTAACTCCCTCTTGTTGGCCAACCACTAAGCAAGCTATCCCCCTTCAATACATCATGAACACTGCTGCCAGACTCATCCACCTTACCAACCGATCAGCATCCGCCATCCCCCTCTGCCAACCGCTCCCACTTCCCTAACGTATAAAGCTCAAAATACTAACAACCTACAAAGCCATCTACAACTCCACCCCAACCTTCATCACCCACCTCATCTCAAAATATCACCCAAACCACCCATTTCGCTCTTCTCAAGCCTTCCTGCTCTCTTTCTCTTATCACCTCCTTGCATGCTCGCCTCCAGGACTTTTCAAGAGCGTCTCCCATCCTCTGGAACTCCCTACCTAATCTGTCCGCCTATCTCCTATGTCAACCTTAAGGTGATCCTCGAAAACTCATCTCTTCAGGGAACCCTATTCCACCTCGATATAACAGTACTTTCAGATCTTCAGCCAATTCATCCCAAACAGCCATTACCTTTTGTATCACTTGCCCCTCCTACTAGATTGTAAGCTCTCACGAGCAGTGCCCTCCTACCTCCCGTACTGAAACTGTATTACTAACTTTATTGTCTCGCTCAGTTTTGTAAAGTGCTGCGCAAACTGTTGGCGCTATATAAATCTTTAATAATAATACTTACAGCCGACACTGGGGTATTTATTACTCCCACTGACCACAACGATGGGTCTTTTTTTGTTCACACTGCCCCTGGGGATTTTTCTTTACTTTTACTGGGATATTTCTTACTTCCAACACCTCTGCTCCTCCATGCTATACTTAGCTTTTGGCGAATGGTCCTTCCCTCCACCAGTACACCCATACCCCATACTGCCACAGACCGTGTACCTGACTTGCAGGAGAAGCTTCACGGTCTGCATCTGTTTCAGATGCAGACCGCAGAGCTGCCCCTGTCGGCAGGGATGTATTAGCGAGGTCTGCAGACCTCACTAATCACTCCTAGATAACTGGGATCGATTCTCCTCAAGCCTCCTCCCTGCAAAGCTGTGAACAGGTGAGGGGGCTAGCGGGGAGGGGAGTGTATTATTATTTTGTGGGGGGGGAAAGATAAGAATTATCATAAGATAATTTAAGAGGGTGTATTTAGGGGCCGGGTTAAGGTCGGGCAGGGTAGGGGATAGGTGGGGCAACTAGTGGCGAGTTACTCTTTTTGAAATTTTGAGCCCTGTACTGAATGATCAGGTTTTTCCATCAATGGATTTTTTTCTTCCCTGATGGCACATTGGGCATATTCCAAAATTACAATGCCAGGATTCATCGGGCTCAGATTGTGACAGAGTGGTTCAGGGAGCATGTGACATCATTGTCACACATGGATTAGCCACCACAGAGTCCAGACCTTAACCCCATGGAGAATCTTTGGGATGTGCTGGAGAAGACTTTACGCAGAGGTCCGACTCTCCCATCATCACTACAAGATCTCGGTGAAAAATGAATGCAACTCTGGACGAAAAATAAATGTTGTGACATTGCATAAGCTTATGGAAATGATGCCACGGGGCATGTGTGCCTAAACAAAGCTAAAGGTGGCAGGATAGTGGCGTAGTGGTTAGCGCTTTCAGTACTGGGGGACCCCGATTCAAATCCCGGTCAGGACACTCTCTGCAAGGAGTTTGCATGTCCTCCCTGTGCTTGTTTGGGTTTCCTTCGGGTACTCCGGTTTCCTCCCACACTCCAAAGACATGCTGAAAGGTTAATTGGCCCTCCTATGTATGCGAGATAGGGACATTAGATTATAAGCTCCTGGAGGGCAGGGACTGATGTGAATGTGCGCTATGTAAAAGTGCTGCAGAAATCATCAGCACTATATAAATACCTGTAATACATAAAAGGTGGTCCAAGGTCCAAATAAATATTAAGAGTGTGACTTTTTGGCCAGGCAGTGTATTTACAGTGGTCTTCTTGTTTAATTCAGTCTGGATTAACAGAGTTATCCAAGTGAAAATGCCCACAAAACTACTAACACAATGTTGGGACACATTTCCAACACAGCAAGTGCACAGATAGGCCAGACAAAATGTATATTTTTACAGTATAGATGCTACATGCAATGAAGGTAGCCAGACTAAAGATCAAAGTGATGTGAACATTAAACCATTCAATTTGGAATGAGGCATGACAAATGTGGTTTTGACGTCTAATAAATGTTATATATACTGTATACACAGCCCAGTGCAAGAGGCACTCATGGGTCTTCCACTGGACCATTTGTGTCTACTTGCCTTGAGCGCACCCCAGGGCATTTTGTTTTTTATCTCTTACTAGCCACTGATGCTGGGAACTTTTTTTACTCCTGCAGGCAACAGTCCAGCTCCTAAGGAAGTGAACAGTGAACTGAAAAAGAAAGAGGAAAAAAAAAAAAACCACAAAAAACGGAGGGAACAAGTTTGAGGACCCCTCAAAGCTTTTGGAAGCATTGCTGTACACACTGCTATTATGCCACCTAAAGCTTTTGTGTACAAGGCCTTAAAGAGTTTGCTACATATGGAGTGTGTGCAGTCATTTTAAATAGCTTAAAAGCGAGACTTGCACATCTGAAAATAAGTACAATTGGTAGTGAGCCTCTATAATAACAAAACTGATATTCAAAGAAAAAAAGAAGGGTGGGTAATCTCCCAAGGCATGATAGTAGTGATAGCAGTTAATGTTAACTAGATCTATCCAAGGGCATTGTCTTGCCATCAGCCATTTTAGTGTCACAAAGGCTCCCTGCAGTTTTGTTCATTAGACAATGCCTCCAGCCACTATGACACTAATACAAAAGGAAAACCAAAAGTCCCATTACAAAGCCATGTATACTATCTGATTTAACCCTTCTGTATGTACTGACCAATACAAATCCATTTTACATGAAAAAAAAACAAAAAAACCAATGTCGGTACAAATTTGCTTCTGTTTAACAAATTATATCCCATCATTAACCACTGAATGTTTGGCTATCAACAAGGACAGACGGATGGAGCCAGACATGCTACAAAAGCAGCAATAATGCCTTAAAGAATTCACAACCTTTTTTCACGGCGGAAATCCCTAATTTATCCTCTCAATGGACCCATATTACCACACAATGCCAAGCAGCACAAGATCCAGGAACTTTATTCAACTTTGGAACAGTAACATTTTTTTTTTAAACGGCTTGTCAAAAAGACTGGCCAAGCATAAAAAGCCCAATATTTCCAGCCATTTCCTCATAAGAACCTGAATTCCCAGTATGGAGTACAATTTACCAAAATGGAATAAAAATTGCCACACATATAAAATGAACAGTTGAAAGATCTGCCCATCTGTGCCTCAGTCACGGATTCCCAAGACTTGCCTTAAAGGGACATTAAAGGATATTTCCCGTCCCCAATGTTAGTGTAAGGACTTACCTTAACCCCTTCATGACTGAGGCCCTTTTTTCCATTTTTGCACCCATGTTATATTCCACATTTTAGGCCACTTCTGTCCCTCCAGCGCAGGTCTCCGATCCAGCGCTGACTCCTCTGTGCTAGCTGGCACTTCCTGTCCCACGGAGTCTGTGCGGGTGCACACTGCCCCATAGATTCACCTTGTGGCTATTTATTACAGGTATTTATATAATCGCTGACAATTTACGCAGCACTTTACATAGTTGCACATTCACATGAGTCTATCCTCAGTCTATCAGTCTATCTTCCGGGCGAACATCTGAACTGCGCATGCGTCCACACCTAGATCATTTGCGGCCGCCCAAGACTCTTCAGATGTTCAGACAGGAGCGCGTGGCAAAGACACTGGTAAGTTTAAACCAGTTTTTTTTATGTTTTTGCATATATCTACTGCTTGCTAGCAGTAGATATATGCAAAAAACAAACACTGAGGGTTTAATAACCCTTTAATTGCTTCCAATCCAGGACATGGTGTAGGTAAAAACACACAGGGGGGGAATTGATCAAAACTGGAGCAGTTCCCCATGGCAACCAATCAGCATCTCTGCTCAGGTAAGATTTGAAAAATGAGACAGAGAAGGTGATTGGTTGCAGTGTAAATCTGCTCCAGTTTTGATAAATGAAAAATGGGCTCTCTGCCTTCAATAGAAACAATTTCCAACAAATCTTTGTGAGATCCGAGCTTAAAAAAGTGCTTTTAATAATAATAATTTAAAAAAAAAAAAAAAAAAAAAAAAAAAAAAAAAAAGGTAGTGATGACAATCTACAAACAGATATTTCTAGATAATTGCCGGATTTTTATTTTTTGCATACCTTAGTTTTCTTTTATTCTCCAGTCTTCTGACACTGGTCATTTCAACTAATGGCAGGTTACTATATCTCTCTTTACTTCCTGGAATTCTGGCACATGTGACTAGGACATGTGACCATACACATCATCTCAGAGGAGGAAAATGCCTTTCCCTGAGATCTTATGAGATTACAGATTAGATTTCCCAGCAACACTCTGCTGATGTAAACTTCCGAAGGTGCAAAATTTGGGCACGATTACATCATTTGTACCAAAGTGGACCAGAAAAGTGCCAAAAAAAATTATAAGTAAAGTAAAAAATATGTTTTTTTTTAGCTAATGAATGCAAGATGATTTCAAATCAGCATGCAGAGCTGTACGCGGATGTGATTTTTAGTCATAAGAGGTAAAGGTCCACTTAAACTGTCATCAACTGTGCCTTTTGCTAAGGAACCAGCAGTCTGACCCTTAAAATATACCTGTTGAGAATCCAGATGTTAAAAGCTAAAACAAAAGCAGACATCGGATGACAGAGTACACTGCCATATTCATCATATGATGAACTATCCAACTAGCCATTTTCTTTCCGGCTGTTGCCTAGCAATGATATCTACGAGAAATTCAAATGACATCACAATTGGTACATGGAAAAAGTACCTTCACACAAAAACAGAAAGTAAAGTACAGTTGAACACAAAGTGTAAATTCATAATAGTGATAGCAGACATTTCCTGTGGGGTTTTTTTTTTTAACTTACCTTCCAAAGAAATTACGTTTCACATTGTATTAGCAGTTCCCTAATTTCTGGAGTCAGATGATTAGTAGCCTTGGCAGCTTCAGCTATAGCCTTACGGTACACACCTTTTTTCTTCCTATTGAACCTCAGTTTAAAAAACTCTGAAAAGGAAGAAAGTTTTGAAACCGATAAACTGGAGGTGGTTGGAGAACCAAACCATGAAACCGTTGCTTCCTGCCATGGAGGATCGTCGTTTTCCTTTTGGTTAACATTAATACTTAGTATACGAGCAGGCCACCAAGGAAATCCGTGGACCTTCCCCCATACAATGTCTCCTACTGAAATAGTCTTTCCATCTACAGTGATGCAGTTTGATACACTTTTAGAGTGAAGTCTCACCATAAGTGGTGGGACAGTTTTCTGTTCATCTTTAGAAGAGGAGACCGAAATATCGTCACCAGGCATAAGGTCACAAAAATCCATCCGATTTAATTCCAGACAAGTTGACTTTGATTCATCTAAGCTGTCATTGCTGCACAACGATGCACTAGACGAATCGGCTTTCCTTTTCCGGTAATTTACAAGTAAATTCAGGTTATGTCCCTCTTGGCTGTGTGGAAATCCTTTGAAGTCATCATCCTCCCCAGAGCTTCCCAAAGACGCATCCTGATAACTTCTTTCTGCAGCACTGTCCATGTAATAAGTGGAGGAATCAGTTTCAGACGCTTGGCTGCTCTGCAGCACATTCACCTCATGAATTAGCTCAGATTTATAGACTGAAACCCTTTGTCCATCACTAATCCTTTGTGGCTTTAGTCTGATTTTAGGTGGTGGAATATCTGCATTGGAATGCAACGGCTTAGGTAACTTTAACTTCGGAATAGAAGCCACTTGGCTGTCTGTTGTTCTGTCCGCTAAACGTTTGGGAGCTTGACACTGTTCAGTGTCCTTAGGTATCTCTTGGTCCCTACTTCCATTTTCGTGGGTTTGGTTTGGACAAAATGGCTCAACAGAGCCATGTATGCGTGATGGAATCTTAACCACTTCCCCTTTGCCTTGCGGTGTACTGTAAACGATCTTTATGACAGGACTCCTAGGTATCAAGTCTTTGGAGGGACTCCTAGGTATCAAGTCTCTAGAGGCACTATGCTCCTCCCTCCTCTCCTTTGTCGTCTTTCTCTCCTCAGGATCCGACTCCACTTTATGTCTTTCCTTATCGTCACTTTGTGATCTTTTGCTACTTCTAGTGTTGTTTTTATCCTTTGGAGATTCTTCCGCATTTAATGTGTTTTTACATTTTTCACAAAGGACTTGCCTAGGCCGCAGTCTTATTGTGCTCATTATTAGCCTCCCGGGATCTCGGTTCCTTGACATTCGCCTTTTTGTCCTTTTAATACTGCGTGGAGGCGGTTGAGGCACCCACTGATTGTACGAATGTCTTATCCACAGAGGAGGGGGAAAAGGGGCTCCTTCGAAGTATGGAGGATAAGAAGGAGCAGTACCTGGGAGTGGAAGGAGTGGAGGAACTTGATCGGTGTTACTTTTCACAGGGAGCTCAGTATCTTGAACGGGAGTTTCTGACAATGGATGGGAGAAATTGGCATCTGTAGGAATACTGGTACAGGAACCATTAGGAGAGTCTTCATTTTTTGGAACAGAAGGAGGCGGCATGCAGAACAACCCCGACCTAGTGAAGTATAAAACAGGATGTTAAAATACAAAAAGGCCTGTCTGTATCAACAGATGACAACTTTATATTTCATCCAAATACATCTGCAATCATTGGATCTGCTTTAGGTTAACTCATTATCGAGAAAGTTGAGCCCAGTGGGAAACGGTTTTTGTACCATATACGCACATGGAATCTCTTGATCTGAAGTATCCAATAGAAAAATTGTCTCCCGTCTCTGCCTAGTTAGAAAATGAAACAAACTGGTTGCTATAGACCAGGGGCGGGCAAAATCGGCACTCCAGCTGTTGGAAGACTGCAAGTCCCATGAGGCACTACAAGACTGAAAACCACAGGCATGACTCCCAGAGGCATGATGGGATTTGTAATTTCACCACAGCTGGAGTGCCAGTGTTGCCTACCCACGCTATAGACAATGTTTACTACGGGCAACTACTTGGTGTTTTGAAGCCCCAAAACACCAAGTCCAAGCTATATGCAATTCCCCAATCATGCTCCTAATTGGTGCTCAAGCACTCCGCCCTAAAATCCCATAGTACAATACACATGGCTTGCCGCTGGTCACTGATATCCATGCATTGTATTGTGGGGGAGTAATGGTTCAGAGGCTATTGGAGGATGCAGAGTCACATTTCATATGGGCAAAACATGCACATTCTGGTTCCGATTGGTCCACTGTGTCAGATTCACTTTAAATCAGGGGTGGACCAATTTATACTGAATTCAGGAGCCAGTCCGACCAATCCAGGAGCCAGCTAAAACTAGAGAAAACCTCAAAAGTTTGGCGCTGGCTGTAATTTTTAAAGGAGCATTGGCTATCTGGCTCCTGGCATTGGTCCAGCCTTCCCTTAAATACAATATGTACTTTCTCCAATAACCCAGGCAGACAATAGTGCATTTGTCAACATCAACGAGTCAGATATGATCTTTCACTGATCTTACCGGTAAACTGAACCCCGACTAGTTTCTTTGGGTTACAGTTATTCAATAAACTAAACAGGTTCCCAATCTGTTTTGCTATATATAGAATTTGGGGATGAATATGGAGCAAAGGCGATACCGCAACCAAAGAGGAAATGTATAATAATGCAGCAAAGATAAGGGCTTTTATGGTATCAGAAACACCACTGATATAGCACAAAAGTAGGTTAAGATTACATCTTTATTTTATACAAAAATATGAAAAATGATTGTGCATAATAAAACGCTAAAACAGTGATCCTTCCTTCATATTGTGGTATACAATCAAGACCTCCCTTAAAAAGATATCAACAATATTGACACCTTATCCAAAGACCATATAGAGTCCAAAAAATGCAGTATTGTCATGATGTTACCAGGGCCGGATTTCCGACAAGGCCAACCAAGGCCCGGCCTCGGGGCAGTAGGGAATAGAGGGGCAGCAGGGGTGTGGCAATCCTATCTCCTGATGCCCGGGACATGTAGTTCTGGGCATGGGCAGGTAGTTATTTTCTACATTTAGCCCTGCTTTGGGCAAGCAGAGCAAAATGTACAGAGGGGAAGCCACTGCTTGTTTTGTACAAGTGGTATCGGCGATGTCACTGAGATCACTTGTATGCAGCCTGCATGCCTGCCATTCTCCAAGGGAAGGGTGCATTGAGGAACCTGGCCTTGTGGCAGCAGAGAGAGTAAATCCAGCCCTGGATGTCATGGTATCAAAGGCTGCCATTATTCCTCAACGCATTGTGCGCCCAATATAAGGGGTTCTTCAGGAAAAGGGAGCGGATACTCTATATAGACAGATGTACGATCTGTTTTGATCGGATCAGGGGACGATATCGCAATAGCGGCTACCAATAGTTGAGTTGAAAGATCTCAGTTTGGGGGGAGGTATGACTGAGCAGGACAATCACTGCTCCCATGGGATAAGCTGTCACCGGGAATGTTTGCAACCTGCGTAGTGCACTTCCCCCTCCTTTAAAACCTAACCAGGAACACGTCTGCATCTGTCCTGTCCGAGGATGAATCAGTGCTAAAAGCAATAGCAAGATGAT